ATTATTTCTGCTGGCATGTGCACATCGGTGGTGAATTTATTATGAGGTTCCTTTGATAGCCACTAGTGTTCGAACTCTGGGACGAGCAGTATTATAGTGCCAGTCCGTTGTAGTGCCGTTGGCCCTGAAAGGCATCGAAACCTTAAAAGCACAAAAATCCAGATCCCGTAAAACAACTGAAGTATGAAAAAGCTGCAAAAGCTCACAAAGGACATATGAAATGGCAATTAGAACACATTCTGGCATACTTTTCTTCTTTACAACACCAACAAATCCTTCTTTAAAAATAATATTACAAGAGTAAGAGTAAACACAGGACAGAGTTTGAGAAGCCAGTACTACTGATGATATTTCCAGCAGACATAAGTGCATGCAGCTGTTTACCATCTTTTGTGTGGTGTGTTTTGTAAGGTGGTTGTGCCTCAGGGAAAAGAACCCCCCTGTTTCCTGCAGCTTTTCAAGGGAGGCTTGGTCATTCACAAAGGAAAGCAAGAGGAAGCTTCCATCAACACAGGTGGAGTAAAATCAGCTTGGTTTTCAGTCCATTTTCCTTCTCTTCTTTGTTTGAATGTTGTGATTGTCAAAACACAGAAAGCTGGCGTCTGTTTTGTGTGCGAGGGGAGCTCCCAGAAGAGGGTTTTCTGTTAGAGGTGGACTGCTGCTGTGCGGGTCTGAGGTCGAGAGGCTGTGTTGTCCTGCTAAATGGCCAGCAGGGAGTGCTCTATCTCTGGATTGGTTGTAAGGCTCACAGCAGCACAAAGGAAGTCGGCAAGAGGGTGGTGGAGGTCCTCACTAAAATGTGAGTCACATGTTCTTATTGTGCTTTTTAAAAGTTCTCAGTATCAAATTTTTTTTTTAACCTGAAAGGAACTTTAATTTTTGGTTGGTTTGTGTGTTTTAGCTGTCCATCAGAGGTGGGTTTAAGCAAAAGCAGCCCTGTAAAGGTGCAGATAGTACAGGAAGGTTCAGAGCCAGAAGACTTCTGGACAGCACTGGGACAAAAGGACAGGAAGGCCTATGACTGCATGCTGCAAGGTGCAACGCAACACACACTGTGCTTTGCTGTGGACTGTAAGCCTTCAAATCATAGTAAGAAACAACTCTTTTGTAATGGCAGATCCAGGAAAGTATAACTTCACGCCTCGCCTCTTCCACCTGACTGCCTCCTCTGGGAGTTTCCAAGCCGAGGAGCTGCAGAGTCCGATGCAGATGCCGGGGCTTGTGATGGCAATGCCTTTTGTCCAGGAGAGCCTATACAGTGTACCACAACCAGGTGAAAACAGACACAAAACAAACTAAATTCATCTTATATTCAACTCTGCTTTTCAGCTTCTCACCTCTGTCATTTTATCTGCAAAATAAACACATTTAAAAAGTAACAGAAAATTGCTTCCCCATACACTCATCTATTGTTTAACTTCATCTATCCCCCTCCGGCCAAAAACATCAATCTAATGTAATTCCACTTCATTGCCCAATTTCCCTCTTTGTTGTCTGCGTGCCAGCTCTGTTCCTTCTTGACAACCGTCTGGAGGTCTACTTGTGGCAGAGAGGTCAGCCTGAGCAGACTGAGAGCTCCTCAGCCTGGAGACTCTGGCATCACGAGAGGAAATGTGCCATGCAGACAGCGCTGCAGTACTGCAAAGGTAGTAAGAACTGAGGGAGAGGAGTTGGTTTCATGCAGAACTGCCTGAAAGTAAAGGTACTGCCGATTCTTGATAAGTTTTAAAATGTATTGTTTATTCTGTATCCCAGAAATAAACCAGAGAAGGCCGCCGCATGCATATCTCATCCTCGAGGGGGCCGAGCCTCTCACCTTCACTAATGTCTTCCCGCGCTGG